ATATATATGTGTGTGTGTGTATATATATATAATGTGGGATATATATATGTATATAACTGTTCTAATAATCAAATTAAAGTAATAGTAAAAATAACAGTAATAAAAATAATGTAATTTTGATAATAACTAAACAATATGACAATATGTTCTTATAATAAAAATCAAAGTTAAAGATATTTTCGTAATACTATTGCGAAATATTATTAATTTTATATTAATATATATATTAATTATATTATTAATAATAATAATTAAATAAATTAAAATTAAATTAAAAATAAATTAATAATTAAAAATAAAAATAAATAAATACTGTAAATTAATATATACAATATATATAAATAAATTAATGATAATTAAAGATAAAAATGAATAAAATAATAATAATAAAAAATGAAAACAAATAAATAAATAAAAATTAAAAATAAATTAATAATAATGAAATATATTAATAATTATTAATAATTAATATAATAATATATAATCAACAATATTAATTATTATGAACTTAATAATTAATTACTATTAATAATCATAAGAAAAAGGAAAATAAGAATAACAACATTAATAAATATAATATCCTTTTAGTTCAAAATTAGTTACAAATTTAAGCTCTATCTAATATTTCTTGTCAATTCAATAGTAATCTTTTGTCCTTTCATTTCAGTTTTTCAGTAATTTTCAGTAATTTATTTATTTATTATTTTAATTTATTATTATTATCAGTAATTCATTTTTTTTTTTTGTCCTTTTAAATTCATTTCAGTTTTAGCATTTGACCCACAAACGCTGGGTGAAAATAGACAAACATTTTTTATACTTGAAAATAAGCAAAAAATGGGGTAAATACTGTGTTCATTTTTTTATACTTTTTGTGAAAATAAGCAAAAAATGGGGAAAATACTGTGTTCATTTTATATACTTTTTGTGAAAAAAAGAAAAAAATTGGGAAAATACTGTGTTCATTTTTTATACTTTTTGTGAAAATAAAAAAAAATGGGGAAAATACTGTGTTCATTTTTTATACTCTTTGTGAAAATAAACAAAAAATGGGGAAAATACTGTGTTCATTTTATATACTTTTTGTGGAAAAAAAAAAGGGAAAATACTGTCCTCATTTTTTATACTTTCTGCCTTACCCAATTTTCTTTGGCAGGAAAATGCATTATATATATATATATGAGGACATAGTTCAATATACAGATATTGATAAAAATAATAAGCTAATGAATACAGATATAAATAGATATTATTTAGTTTTCATGATAAACTGACTGTTGCATTAACCCAATGCTGCCGGGGAAAATGAACAAAAATTGGGGAAAATGCTGTGCCCACTTTCTATGTTTTTCGTGAAATGTCTGCCGATAGATGGCTCTGTTAGCACCTGATATGAAATGGTGGGAAAAACGTATTTTTCACTAGTGCTATGAAAATCGATGGTGTTATTATTATCACAAACATTATAATTTTCATAATGTTTTTTAACATTAGTAACAGCAAAATAAGATAATATAAAATATTTCGTAAATCAAAGAAACGGGTAAACGGGCGAGACAAGCGGTGCTCGTAACTGGCTCATTGGTGATTTAGTACAAGTGTTGCCATCTATGCGTAAAAACAATCAAACAAGTACTCACGGTGGGCATAGCATGTAAGTATACGTCATACTCGTCGGCATTGGGTTAATGAAAATAAATATATACATGAATACATACATATTTTATTTCCACTTGCAATTATGATGATAAAATTAACATAAATAAAAATAGATATACATAAAGACATTTTGTTTCCTTTTGTATTATAACAATTAACCCCTTGGTGCCGGGTATGACGTGTACGTACGTGCTATGCCCACCGTGAGTACTTGTTTGATTGTTTTTATGCATAGATGGCAACACTTGTACTAAATCACCAATGAGCCAGTTATGAGCACCGCTTGTCTCGCCCGTTTACCCGTTTCTTTGATTTACGAAATATTTTACGTTATCTTATTTTGCTGTTACTAATGTTAAAAAAAATAATAAAAATTGTAATGTTTATGATAAAAATAACACTATCGATTTTCATAGTCCTAGTGAAAAATACGTTTTTCCCGCCATTTAAGTAAGGCGCTAGCAGAGCCATCTATCGGCAGACATTTTACGAAAAACATAGAAAGTGGGCACAATATTTTCCCCATTTTTTGTTCATTTTCCCCGGCACCATTGGGTTAAATCATGGTTGAAGCTAAAACACTCTTTTTAAAATGGCCAACAAGTTTCAGATCAGTCACCATATTAACCCAATGCCGCCGGGGAAAATGAAAAAAAAATGGGGAAAATGCTGTGCCCACTTTCTATGTTCTTCGTGAAATGTCTGCCGATAGATGGCTCTGCTAGCACCTGATTTGAAATGGCGGGAAATATTTCTCACTAGTGCTATGAAAATCGATGGTGTTATTTTTATCATAAACATTGTAATTTTAAGAATGTTTTTAAAAATTAGTAACAGCAAAATAAGATATTGTAAAATATTTCATAAATTAAAGAAATGGGTAAATGGGCGAGACGGGTGGTACTCGTAACTGGTGTTGCCATCTATGCGTAAAAACAATCAAAGTACTCCTAAAGTGCTATGACAAGTAGTAGCGATTTTTTAACTACTTTTGATCAATAACACGTGTCTACCTACAATAAATTATTCTATGGAAATTTCAACACGTCATAATGCATAAAAAGTTTATGGTTTAAAAGACCTACACATTAAGAATATCACATGTAATAAAAATAAGAGAGATTCTCTAGAAAATTCAGAACAATTCTTTCCTAGTCATGTCAAGAGGAAGTGCATTCCCTCTAGATGAAATACATTAGATGGCTTGTGACCTTTATGTACAAATAAATATATATATATATACATACACACACACCAAATGTTATTCCAAATCTTACAGCAGTTTGGTTTCTCTTTTGTATGTACTCTCAAGTGTGTGACATTATATAATGATACTCTGAGGTTTCATTTCATATGAGGCTTCTGTGTTGTACGTACTCTCGTGTGCTTCACCATAACTTGTTTCCGTGAAAATCTATTATTGCAAATCTCACAGTCTGTATGGTTTCTCCTTTATATGTACTCTCATACGGATCACTAAACTAGTTTTCTATGAGAATGCCCTGTTGCAAATGTCACAGTTTTTATGGCTTGATTTCTATACCCCTTACTTACTTCCTGTGAATCTAACAGCCGTGTGGCTCTTCCTTTGTATGTACTCTCCTATGGATCACCAGACTGATTTTATGCGCGAATGCCTTGTCACAAAACTCACAGGTGTAGGGCTTTTCCTTCGTATGTACTCTCATGTGAGTTACGAGATTATTCTTCTGTGAAAAAGGCCTATTGCAAACCTCACACCTGTAGGGCTCCTCCCTTGTATGTACTCTCACATGACCCACAAGGCTATTCTTGTGCGCGAAGGCTTTGTCGCAGATTTCACAGGCGTAGGGCTTCTCTTTCGTATGCACTCTCATGTGACTCGCCAGGTTGTTCTTCTGCGAAAAAGCCTTGTCGCAAAACTCGCAGAGGAATGGCTTCTCTTGTGTATGTAGTCTCATGTGACTCCTAAGACCCGTTCTGTGCGAAAAGTTCTTGTCGCAAATCTCACAGGAGTAAGGCTTTTCTTTGGTATGGACTCTCATGTGACTCACTAGACTGGTTTTGTGCGAAAAGCTCTTGTTGCAAATCTCGCAGCTGTACGCCTTCTCCTTCCTGTGTACGCGCATGTGCGTCACAAGATGACCTCTCTTCAAAAAGGCGTTGTTGCAGATCACGCAGGCGTATGGCTTCTCGTCTGTATGAACTCTCATGTGCTTCGCCAGATTCTGTTTCCACGAGAACGAACTGCTGCAAATCTCGCAGCTGTACGGCCTCTCCTTTCTATGTGCTCTGAGGTGTGTCGCGAGCTGACCTCTCTCGGGGAAGGTCACGTTGCAGATCTCGCAGGCGTGGAGCTTCTTCTCCTTTGTATGGACTCTCCTGTGCCTCACCAGGCCATTCTTCCGCGCGAAGGCCTTGTTGCAGAATTCGCAGCTGTGCGGCTTCCGCTCCGTGTGCATGATCATGTGGTCCAGGAAACTAGACTTGTACGAGAAGGCCTTGTTGCAAATCTCGCAACTAAATGGCTTCTCGTTTGTATGTACTCTGGCGTGCGTTGCAAGATGACCTCTCTCGGTGAAGGACTTGTTGCAGGTCTCGCAGCTGTACGACTCGCCCTTTACGTGCAGTCTCCTGTGCTTTGCCAGGTTGTGTTTCCGCGAGAAGGCCTTGTTGCAGAATTCGCAGCTGTGGGGCTTGTCTTCTGTGTGCATTATCATGTGGTTCGAAAATGCAGATTTATAGGGGAAGGCCTTGTTGCAAATCCCACACTGGTACGGCATCTCCTTTGTACATACACCGACGTGCTTTGCCAGGTCACTTTCCGGTTCCGTTTTGGGCTGTGTGTCTTCCTCTTTCGGTCTTCCCTCACACATCACTCGGTCCCCATCCGCTGAGCTCGGCTTCCCACAGCCCTCAGCCATGAACGACAATTTTAACGCGTTGTCATGACCCTGAAGCAAGTTCCACGAGGAGTCTTCTGCTTCGTGTCTTGGATCGCGAAGATTGCGGAGAAAACGACTCTCTCGAGTCGCCTCCGCATCACTCACTTCGTTTCTCGCCTCGTCTCCATAGTCGAGGGGTTCCTCCTTGATCTCTAGGCACGTCTCCTCTGTGAGATCTTCGCTCGACTCTTCCTTGACGCCGAGTCCAGTGCTGAACATTTCCTCGCACATGAGGGGAACAGAAGCCATCCTGTCGAAGGGGAAGCTTATTGTCTTATTGAAAATAGAACAGAAAATAAGCCGCTTTAATGTCTCTGCTAAAAAAAAAAAAAAAAAAAAAAAAAAGCTATCATAAGCAGTTCGTAATTTTTGGAATAAATTACTATAAAGATGATCAGTCACCAAATGTTAAAAGAA